TCAGAAATGTTCATACTGCCAACTGCATGCAGCATCCTTTTCAAATCATGGATTTAAAATGGCTTCGATCGAATGAAGCCTGTAGGTCTTCGCGAGGACAATTCTTCTTCGAATCTCGTGGACTGGCGCTACAGAATCACAAATAACTTTACCAAATAAGCAAAATCACATCACTTGAAGACTTTTAACTTCAACAACAATTGCATAGTGCATAGAAATCGAAGAGAAAATAATGAGATAATCAAGATGTTGATGCTCAACACTATTTAAGACAAAACATTACGAAAATACCCCCTGCCTCATCAATACTGGAAAGAGGGATAGCGGACTTGAGAAAACTATTTTCTAGAAAAAAATGGTTTAATACAAAGATTTTTAATGCCCATAGATACTCAGCCTACTGAGTTTACCAACTGGATTTATACTGATTGCTTGTATTCAGTTAGTACACAAGGTTTTGTATCTTTGTTTTGGAAAGGTTCTGCGATGTTTAAAGGACTGGAAAATTCGAGTAACGAGCCTGCTCCAAATTTTGTGTGAATCTTGGCAAATCTGCTATTTATACTCCCAAAATCTATATCTGCAATAGTAGCGATCGTTTTTCGACAATTAAAAGCTTACAGACAATTCATCACTGCCAGGATTCTACGCGTACAGGGTTTAAAGCACTTCCATTCAAACACTTTGGAAAATGAGATTAAAAGTGCAAAAAGAATAAAGGTTCTATGGGAAGTAAAACTAACAAGGGAGCAGAAAGTGAAATCTGTTCTGATGCGTTTTGCTTTCTTCTGATTTAGATGTGTTGTTTTGTCTATCGTCGTAATGGCTTCTTTTGTTCTATCAGCAGTCCCTCAGGCACCAACGCTGCATCACAGACTGAACCAACAGCGGGAAATTACTTTCCACGTTTTATTTCAAGAGAGGACACAGCAGTAGTATCATCGTTTCGTGGTGGAAGCGAGAGGTACAGGAAAATAAATAGAACGGTTTTCAACAGGTTGGCCAGTGGCTTGATGAGCCGTCTCAATCTGCTGAAGCCACAACAGGCCAGAGAATCTGGGAAGTGGAAGGTGTCTCCATTCCTCTATAGCTGCAAAAATACTGATTGTTTTTCAACAATTCAAAGCTTACAGAGTATTCATCACTGTAAAGATTCCACGTTCACAGTGTTCAAAGCACCGCCACTCGTTGCGGGTCGTCAGAGTTCTAATCAGTTCGGTAGGGTTAGTGATTTTGAGCTAGATTACGCATTCTCTAACAGGTGAATAATAAGGTACATGAGTTTCGTCATCCTGGGAAAACGATGGCATCAGTATCAAATGTAGGAAAATAGCAAACCAGTGGAGGAAGTGTCATGGCTTGATCACATTCTACATGGAGACACTGGGTCTTGACATTGGAAGGTAATTTTTTGATATCTCAAAAATTACTGAAGACCATGTAGAATGCGAAGAAATTATGGAAGTAGCATCTTTCAACAAGACAATGAGACTAGAGATACTGCGCAAGTTGTAGTGGAATGGTTTCAAAGACAGGAAAATTCCACTGCACTACTTTGGCCACCAAACTCCCAAAATCTTCATTCCATTAAAAACTTTGTGGATATTTTGAACCAAAAGTTCACTCTAGATAACCTCAAACCACGTGAGTTATTGCTGTGTTCATCGTGGCACCAGATCTCGGAGCAGTTATGATTAAAAATATAAACTAAACCGAAAGACACTATTTACATTATTCGGACTATTGTCTTCATCTTTGTTGCCATATTTATCACAACGTTTCCGCTGTTGTACGCTCAGGCCTTCTTCAGGCGGTTGGACTGTCAAACTGAACCCTTTATTTCGCTCACTGGGCTAGAATTTTATAGTTCCACGGGCCATGTCTAATGGATGCCAGTTATGAGTTATCTTCTGTTAATTTCCCTCTCCAAGTTCTCCAGTGGCTTAACCAGGTATTGAACTAACAACTCTTTGGGTTTTGTCACTGGATCAAATATATATATATATATATATATATATATATATATATATATATATATATATATAAGACAATAGGAAAACTGTAGTTATTTCTGACGCGTTTCGACCAATGTGGACTTTCTCAAAGCAAAAAACGAAATAAATTTAAAAACGCTAATAGCAATAATATTTCTGAAGCAGACATTTATAAAATAAATTGCCAAAACTGTTTCTCCCAATATATTGGAGAAACAAGTAGAAATTAAAAAAAAAAAACGCATTTATGAGCACAAAAGAGACCTCACAAAAAAACAGTTTAGCTAATGCACTAGTCATACATAGAAATAAATTCAACCATAATTTTGATTTTAAAAATGCTACACTCATAAAAAAGTAAATAACTCACTCAGAAGGAAAATTCTAGAGAGTGCCGCCATAGAATATTACCCAAATATTAATCTACACCCAAGCTTTTTCCCTATTTCACCTTTCTTAACAAAATTACTGCTCTCCCAAACAAATGTACACAACAATATCGTAAACTCAAAAGAAAATGGTTGAATCCGTCAACACAGTCATAATGACAATATTCTCCACACGTGACAATAACTGACGTTATTTTCAGTTAACAATATGAAAATAGCGTTCTCTACATTCCTCCAGTTGCTAAGAACATTCTTTTTTGTTGTTGTTATTATTAGTTACGTTCTTTAATTAAATTCATTTCGTTTTTTGCTTTGAGAAAGTCCACATTGGACGAAACGCGTCGGCAATAACTACAGTTTTCCTATTGTCATTTATATTTATAAATATTGTCTTTTTTACGGGTTAACTCTGAGAAATTTTCACATATATATATATATATATATATATATATATATATATATATATATATTTATGTGTGTGTGTGTGTGTGTAAAAAGAGAGAGAGATTAATACGAATAACGAAAAGATAGGACGTCTGTTCAAAAAAGATCGTTGCTGTTGCTATTCTAACGGAGCTAAAGTGAAGCCACATAACGTTCTCGTTAAATTCTCGTTGTTTATAGTAGCGATTGGAAGGAAAGTGTGTAGAGTGTGGTCATCACCACACTCTACACATTTATCCCATCAGTAGCCAATGGCTTGTGCAGCAGTTTTTGGCTAATGACAACATTACTTAGGTACAACAACCAGCTTGCGACTTTTTCCTCTTTAAATATCAAATACGACTTGAAAGAAACAAGATATCGAGGCAATCCAAAAGAATGCGATGTTATCCCCCAAAAATGAAGTTCCAGAGATGCTTCCATCCATGGAAACAACACTTGATAAAGTGTTTGGCTTCAGAAGGGGACTACCTCGAAGGATATTAAATGCCGCATTGATATGTGTTGTAGTTTTTTTTTTCTTATAGTACCAGTCCCGATACATTTTGATCAGAATTCGTATAGATAGGCCGTAAATGAAAAAAATGATAAATGCAAAGTTAAGATTAATTCTTCTGATATTAGAATGAGAAAATGAGCGCGAAAGGCCTACACGTTTTTGTCTGTACAATCGACCACTTTTATGCCGGAGAAAGCAAATCCAGCATTATTTGATTCATCAGCGGGAAAAAAAACCGTTTTGTTGTATTTTCTTATTTTCTCTTTTCTTCTTGAGTGCCCATCGCCGTTCTGATAGAGCCAGGGAAAAAAATCCCCAATCACCAGAATTTCTGCAGAATGACCAATCTGGTAATTCATGGCGCCCATTACAGTTGATGGGTACACAGAAAGCAATGGCTTACATCAGATCCGCCGCGTATACCACGTATGAACGTATCATGTTCAAAAGTAGGATAAAACTAAAAAAGAAAAGAAAAGAAGTGAAAAGAAAAGAAGTCATACTAATGGAAAGTGAAGACAAGTTACCTCCCACTCTAGCCTCTAAAACTGATCCAATGCAAAAGTCATTGGAAGTTGCTCGCTCATTTCATACGACAGTAAAAGGGAGAGGGAGAAAGAGAGAGATAGAGAGAGAAGGGGGAGAATGTGTGAGTAAAACAGAGAGTGAGTAGATGGACAGAATGAGGGAGAAACACTGTTAAAAGAGGGAAAGAAAAGAAGAGGAAACAATGAAAGAGAGAGAGAGAGAGATAAAGAGATTGGAGAATAAGGGTTAGTACGAGTGGGAGGGAAAAGTCAAAATGAAGAACAACGCATTTATTTTATGGTACAATTCAGTCGGTAGAATTGCAGATTCATTTTCTTGTAAGGATTGAGAACGGGAATTTGGAGAGGGGGTGAGAAGAAGATCGAAGAATTGGAGATGAAGAGAGGCAACAGATTGAGAAAGAAAGAATGATAGAAAGACGTGCGCGGATGTGTGTTAGAAAGTAAAAGAAAGGTTTTAATAAAGAATAGAGGAGAGAATAATACGAAATGAAGAAGTTTTGAAAGAAAGCAAAGATAAAGCAATGGTGGCATAGAGTTTGGTTTTGTAGATGGCTGGGTCAAAGAGATTGGAGAAACACGTTAAGAGAAAGGAAGAATTAGATGAAGGACAGGAAGGGAAATAGGATGGATTAATGTGGAAGAGGGGTGAAAAGAAAGAAGAGATGGTAAAAGGATAAGTTACTTGGAACTAAAATGGTAAGAACAGGATTAGAGGGAAACAGAGAGGATTCGTAAAAATATGCCAAATAAAGAAAAGGAAATATAGGAAGAGAGAGAAAAAAGACGAAGAGAAGGAAAGAGAAGAAGAGAAAAGCAGAGAGAAAAAGAGAGAATAAGAAAAGAAAGAAAGGGAAAAAATAAATAGAAACAGAAAAGAAGAAAAAGAAAGAAAAAGTAGAAAAAACGAGAAAGAAAGAAAGCGAAAAGGATAAAGAAAAGAATAGAAAGAGATAGAAAAAAAGAAAGAAAAGAAGAGGGAAGAACAAAAGGAGAGGAAGAAAAATAAAAAAGAAAGAAAGTGAGCAGAGAGAGAGAGAGAGAGAGAGAGAGAGAGAGGAAAACGGAGAAATAAGAAGAAAATGAGAAACAAAAAAGAAGAGAAAGAAAGAAAGAAAAAGAAAAGTTAAAGCAAAGAATAGAAAGAATGGAATCGATAGAAAAGAAAAAAAGAAGAAAAAAAGAAAGAGAAGACGACGAAGAGAAATAAAAAATTAATAAAAATTAAACTAAGAAAGTGAGGAAAATAAGTACAAATAAATCTGAAGATGGAAAGGAAGGAAAAAAGAAATAACGTGGGGAAGTCAAAGAAAAAGAAGAGGAGGAGAAAGAAAATAATAAAAAGAAAGCGATCTGCAAAAAGAAGATGAAAAAAGAAAAGAAGAGAAAATGAAGAAGAGAAATGAAAAAGAAGTAAAGAAAATGAAGAGAGGTAGAAAAAGAAACGTTGCGAATGAAAGAGGAAAATAAGAAAAGACAAAGTAAGAGAAGAAGAGAAAGAAAAGAAGAGAAAGAAAGAGGAAAAGAAATAAATAAAAAGAGAAAAACAAAGAGAAAGAAAGAGAAATAAAGAGAGTAAGTGTAAGAGAAGAATAGAAAAAAAGGGGGGGGAAATAAAGAAAGCTAAAGAGAGAGAAAAAGAAGGGAGAGAAACTTCGTAGTCACGAGAAATCAGACTTACATTTTGGAAGCGTCACGTACGGAACACTGATACGGTTTTTATAGCGGATTTCTATTTCTTTATTCCCGATTTTTACTGGCTCTCTCACCCCCCTCCTAACCGCGACATGTGTCATCAATACAAGTCTCATGATGCAAGAAAACATTCAGATGCGACAAATGATAGTTTCGATGATGGTCGTAGTCGAAAGTGTTAGCAGAATCGGAAGAAAATGGATCAAAATGTCATAAAAAGACGCACGAGATAAAGGAAAAGAAACAAACCAACAAGTGGTTCAAATTTACTTGTTTTGATCCGTGATGGACATTACATCTCTGTCTCAACTCTTATATGCAAAGTAGATTCGTTCAAATGCATGCAAGTCCAGCTCAGAACTGAGCGTATCTTATCAAAAAAACATTCGGCCAAGCAAATGAAAAATATCAATCATTTTACATCGATCTTTTCCGTTCATTTCTGATTGTTGTTGTTGGTGATGGTCTTCTTCTTCTTCTTCTTCTTCTTCTTCTTCTATGTGCCGTGTCTATTCAGGACGTGGGCGAACATGGCTCTGTACATTTTCAAGTCGTTTGTCACTCAGTAAAGTTTGCCTTTTTTGCTAATCCCTGTTCTGCCATCCATTTACAGACGATAAGTAGTTAGGTTGCTCGATGTTTCCCTCTGCTCCATTTCTCTTCAATCTTAACACTATTTCACATTGAAACACTGGTTTCCGTACAATCACCGAAGTTAAGCAACGTCCAGCCTGATCAGTACCTAGATGGGTAACTACTTGGAAATACCTGTTGCTGTAAACTTGGATGTGTGGGCGGTATAATGGGTTTACAACCACATCACGTTGATACACCGGTTCTGGTACAATCACCGAAGTTAAGCAACGTCGAGCTTGGTCAGTACTTAGATGGGTAACTACTTAGAAATACCAGTTGCTGTAAACTTGGATGTGTGGGTGGTATAATGGGTTTACAACCACATCACGTTGATATAATCGTACAATCACCGAAGTTAAACAACTTCGAGCCTGGTCAGTACCTAAATGGGTACTACCATAACTTGGACAACCAGTTCCTGTAAGAGTGGATGTGCAGGTGATATAATGAGTTTACTAGATAGGTGACTGCTTAGGAATATCAGGTGCTGTACGCTTGGATGTGCGGGTGGTGTAATGTATAATTCCCTCGGAATTGTTAATCGGAGAAATGAGTTCTAATTCCCATTGGGTTCGTTATATTCACTTACGCACAAATATCCTTAGGAAAAATGTGAATCCACCTCTTCTCCCACCAGCTATGAGTTAATTAATAACAGTTGTATCACGCAAAAAAAAAAAAAAAAAATCGTACAATGTAAGTATTATTTTCTGGATTTAAATAACCTACAAAAGGTTGATAAGCCGTAAAAAACGAATAAGTTAATCAATTAATCTTGATGATATGTCATGTGACTGTCATTTTTTCCAAAACTATTTCCTCGCAATATGATCCAGAAATTTGAGCGAGTTATTTTTTATTCGAAGTTCAATGGTCTTTTTTTTTTCTCCTATTTAACCTAAAACTTACTTGTTGATCATGTGTTACGTCCTTCCTCAATATTTTTCTATAGAACCACATCTACGTTGCATCAAGTTTCCTTTTCATCTGTGAAGAATTTGTTCAGTATTCCCTGCCATATATAAGAATTAATATTTCATAACACTTTGATACTCTTTTTCATTTTTCTAACTAAATGCTTTGTTTAGCTTTTCGAGGGCATATTTAGCTATTCCAATGCACCAATTTCTGAGTCACTTTTTCCTGGCTTCGGTTAAAACACTTCTCATTTATTTCAGTTTGTGATTTTAATCATTTGATTTTAATGTCACCAATTCCCAAATCATATCTTGGCCGATATATTGCGATGGTGAATCCTGTGACCCATCAGCATCGTAGAGGCACCAGTAAAAGTGGTGTTTCGTGAGCAAGATAGCCAGGCCGGTTTTGAATTCAGCGTTTCATTCTCAAAGAGGAGAAGAAGAGGGTTCATACCTTTCCCAGGGGTATTAGCACATAAGTAAATGTAATAGATCCGACTGGAATTCGAACTCGGCTCTCCGGTTCCAAAATCCATTATACCACCGTGGCTGTATATAGTGTATATCAAAAAGGTCTTTTAAACGATTTTAAAATAGAGAACTCTTCTATTAACAAGAAAAGGAATATATTTTTTATCCGACATTATTACTATTTTCAGTGGGTACACACATTTCAGCTTCTGTCCTTGTTTTTGTCTATATTTCTGAGATGAGGTATTATGTACATTATTTACATTATTCGGACTATTATCCTCATCTTTGTCGCCATATTTATTACAACGTTTCGGCCGTTGTACGCTCCGGCCTTCTTCAGGTGGTTGGAATGTCGAACTGAACCATTTATTTCGCTCACTGTGGTGGACTGTTCTAGTTCCACGTGCCATGTTTTGATGGATGTCAGTTATCAGTTATCTCCTGTTAATTTTCCCTCTGAAAGTTCTCCACTGCCTTAACTGGGTATTGAACTCACACTCTTTGGGTCCTGTCACTGGATCTAACTAACGCCTTTATCCACTGTGCCTGTGACATGGAGCCAAAGATGCAAAGTTCAATACCCGGTAAAACAGTGGGGAGAACCTTCAGAGGTAAATTAACAGAGATAACTGATCACCGACATGCATTAGACATGGCACGTGGAACTAGAAATTGACCCCAGCGAGCGAAATAAAGGGTTCAGTTCGACATTCCAACCATCTGAAGAAGGACGGAGCGTACAATGGCTAAAATGTTGTAATAAATATGGCGACAAAGATGAGGGCAATAGTCCGAATAATGTAAATAATGTCCTTGTTTTTGTTTTATTAAACTTTGAAATTGATAACAACCGGCCTACACTGAGACTTTTTACTAAAGAAAGACTGCTTCCAACAGGAAGCGAACTTACATACACATTTCCATCACGGAAACTGTTTTAATAGCAAAAACGGTCCTTTACCAATTCGGCTACGCAGTCCGCGTTCATAGAGAAAGTTTGAATTAACTTTTTAAGAAATGCTATCTTCTGTTTCCTACCTAAACGCTAATAACAGTAATTTTTCAATGGATTTTTGCCCGACGTTGTTTTGTTACTACTATAAACGTTATTTATAGTACCTAAATGTATTTGATTTACTAACCAGGCGAATTGTTATTGATTTCATTATTTCAGAAAATAAAAATAACTAAAGATAGCAAATTAAATGAGTATCAACTAAAAATAAAGTTAAGTGCATTATTTTGTTTTTAATTTCCGAATACGGTTAGCACATTGTGGCTTTGTTCGTAGTTAATATTGTTAAAAAAGAAAAAGCCAACTCTTAACAATATTAACTACGAACAAAGCCACAATGTGCTAACTGTATTCGGAAATAAAAAACATCCCTACCACACACTGATATATACACAGAACGCACACACTCAGTTAAGCTGAAAATCGAATCATCCTTGATAATGGCTAAAGTTATAGCCGAAAGCGCTCGGAAATATAAAACATTTGGACAGTTCTTACACACCCTTTGTCCAGAAAAAAAGCTCTTGTCAGAACACAAGAAAAATTAAATAAAAAAGCTTAACTGTAGTACCTTGTCTGTCGTTTTAATGAAACATGCATATATATATATATATATATATATATATATATATATATATATATATATATATATATATATATATATAAATTAAATTATTGGAATGAGTTTTTTATTCATCGCTACGTGTCTCCTGAAAGCGGCCGCTCTTAGCGATTTAAAAAATTCCAACGTAATTCTCTTCATTATAAACCTTTTAACAATAAAATATATTTTTCTGAAACTTTTTTGAGAAAGATTAGCTGATTTAAAGTTTAGTTAATCGCATTTGGAACAGATATTTCTTTTAGCTTAAAAATATCACGGAAAAAGCATTTTTTAACGCGGAGGTAGGTGTTTTTTTCTGAGTTGCTGACAGCTATCACGATACATTATGTTTAGAAATTTTTTCTATGAAGTAAATATTAGTAAATGCTACTTGACGAATATAACGAGATCACCTTTTTTATATAATTTTTAACTACAGAGTAATCTTACAAATTAAGAAAATATTCCTTGTAATCTAATGTTTTACTGAATTTTAAGTACTTTGGCTTAAAATTTACTATAGTTACCGCTTTATTTTCTGATAATGTCGTGTATGGATGTCCGTATTTGCAAAATTCGGGTCATTTATACACACAAAAAATCATAATTTTTAAAATGCTCGAGGACGCTGAATTGTAGTAAGCTCTTCCATTTATATCATTAAATATAGTTTTTACTTAACAATATCGCCTAACCGGTACAAATTAAGAGAGAATGTTAAAAGATTTAAAACTTTATAAATTATTATAATTAAAATGAAAACAATTTTTGTAAAAAATTATTATTCATCGCAAAAAAAAAAAAAAATTCTTCTGGCAATAGTACCCTTAGTTTGTCATATTCATAACAGCAATTAAAAGCTTTTCTAATTAAATAATGTCTTCGTTTTATTACATTTTTTATTTTACGATTCAGAGCAAAATTGATGATTTAAATTCTCCAAGGACTTTTTCTTATAACTAATATAAAAAAATAAATAATTTCTCGAAAATTCATGAAATTAAATAAGTGGGGCTAATATATTTAAAATAATATTTTTACCAAGATATACTAAAAAAGGAATATTTCTGAAGTAATTATATTCATTTGTGAATGTCCGGATAGCTTCATTAAAATCTGACAATTATTTGATTTTGAAAGTATTTCAAAGCAATGTATTTTTCACCGCAAAAATTGTCACGCACTGACCCAAGAAAATATATATCATTTAACCAAAATTTTGAATGTTCTAAAAGGATTTTAAAAATATAATAACGTTAATAATAATAATAATAATAATAATAAGAGGAGAAGGAAAACTCCGAACAACAACCCGCAACTCAAGGTGTTAATCGTGCCGAGGAGTGAATGGCTACTGCGTTATGAGGTCGCGAACGATCCCCTACAGGCTTCGGAACCCTGTCTGTAAAAAGACCGTTACTCAACGTGCCGGGCAACTTTGGGTGGACTTTTGACCCGTGCGTCACTCGTGGGATTAATATGAAAATTAAAATAGAAACAAAACGTCCAGTATGGCTCTTCCAGTGGATAAACAGGGAGCCCGTCCTTCAGGAGGAACCTACCTGAGGTCGAAAAAATCTGCCATAGGAACAAACTCCTACACAAAGAATGAATCTTCAGGTCCCCACAACCAGGATAATCCTAATGATGGTCCTGTAAATTCTCCAGCTAGATCCATAACCGTAAATTTAAGGAAAGAAAAAATAAAATGGTCTCGTGAGGAGTACAAAGTTGTTATGACTGCATTCCATGAAGCGTTACTCAAACCTCAGAAAAACATCACTCGCCAAACATATGACATTTGGCGAGAGAAGGTTGGGCAAACAATTAGAAAGTACATAGACAAAAAAATAAACTAGCCAATGTAAGAAGGGACATCATGCGAAATAACCGATTGACAGAGGCTGAAATTAATGAAATAAAAAGAATTGCAAACAAGAATAGATGAACCAACAAAACATGAAAAGGAACCGGAATCGGGAAAAAAAGTAGTAACATCACACAAGCCTCAGGTCATAATGAAAAAAACCGAAATACACACAAATCACTGTGAAGATAATGCTGAAAATTTAGAAATGTTGGAAAGGTATGATCTTAGTCAGTCACAAGACGGTAATAAAACGAGTTCAAAATTCATCGAACAGAATTATTTCACAGAAAACAAGATTAATATACAAGAAGCCAAGGATGAAATCATGAGCCATATAAGTCAGATACAGAATATTGCAATGGAGGAACGAGAACAACTCCCAAAATTACAACCAACAAAGCA